CTAGAGTCACATAATTTGATCGAACCAAATAGCCTCTCTTTATTCTAGTGCAAACAAACATTGTAGCTCTACTAGATCTGTTGTGTAACAAGTTAGAGAAGAAAGAGAGAACAACACTGGTGAGGCACTGTATCAAAAGAAACGAGTGACATAGGAACTAAGCTATCAGTGTAGATCACACCATTCTCTGTGTACTCGAAGAAACTCATTCACTGAAAAAGAACTCCCTTGCAACCCAAGGGGACTGGACTAGGATCCACATTGAATCCGAACTAGTATAAAAACTCCGATATCTTTAATTTCTCCATCTTAAATTCTGTCTTTACTAGTATTAAATTCTTATATCTAGTCGATTAATCGCAAAACTAGTCAACTGATAGCTATTAAGTTTAAAAATAAACAATTCACCCCTCGTCTTCCATCACTTCCATTCCCTCTTCGAGAAGGGGCACGTCATTTTACAGCACCGGAGCTTCAACAAATCTATCAATCTGAGAAGAAGTACCAGCCATTTGTCTGCCTTGATCGAAATAAACAAGGACAATGGAAGAAAATGGGGAATGGCCACGTCGAATTTTGACGAAAGCAGAAGTATAAAAGACTGAAGAATGTAGGAGTTTGTAAAATTCTCTCAGGTAAATTGAAAAGCATAACACCCAAATGAAGGATTCCCCCAATTTATAGGAATGCAAATGTCCTGAGCAAAAAACCCAAGAGTCGCCAATCAAAAAACTGAAATGGCACGGGAAACGACACGGTGCCTGGGAAACGTGCGCCATGATGACGCATAATGGGCATTTATGATATCATAACTTGATGCAACGGTTCAACTCTGAACTAACGTAACGGTCCAATGAGACTCCTGAAGCGTCACGTTGCCACCTCGCCTTGAGGACCTCGTTCCACGCATAATGTTCAAATTTCTTCTAACTTTTGAATCAACAGAATCCACCCATCGAATTCGCCAAAGGGCGACCCCGATGGGTGATGGGACTAATTATATGGGTCAAAATCTGACAACAAGATGGTTGTCTTTGAAAGGAATGATAAGGGGTCAACCAAGCCGTAATCGTACCCACGAGGCATAACAGCGGCGACCACCTCGGCCGCTGTCGAGATCGAGCCGTCAGAAGGCCTGCACGACAACGCATACGTCGTACTACCCGGGCAAGTAAGAAAGAGCGTGATCATGAGAGGGTCCGTTGGGTAAAGACCGTTGGATAAATGGGAAGGTTGATAATATATATATATNATCAAAGATGAGAACAAGAGGAGATCCCCAACTACAAATCCCAACCCAGATTTGGCTACAACTTTTTATACTCATCATTATCTAATCAACAAAGATAAATCTCTTAGTTATCAACAACTTTCCCTATTTTTCTTCTGTGCTCTTACGAGTATGGTGCAAGCATATCAAAGATGTAAGCTCATCATTTATATTTGATGTCTGTTAGTCATCTTAAGAAATATTATACAAGCTTGGTCTTCTTCGATTTTTGTACTTGATATGTTTGGATCTAGAATTAATTATGTTTGACTAAAATTTACCCTCCATCTCTTAATTAATTAGTTTAACTAAAAGGTTTAACACTTTTTTGGTCGAACAGATACCAGGGATCCATTGGTTAATCGACACCAATTTACATTGATGAGAAGATCAGAGAAATATAAATAAATAAAAAAAAGCATATTGCCTTATTGGTTATCTTTCCATTAATTTTCTCTTGAATCTTTAACTTCAAACCCCAAATGTATGTTGTTCCAGATTTTATATATTGTTGGTGGAAATTTGAAATGGAAAATTTCGTTAATTTATCCATTTTGGTAAGTAAGCTAGTGGGTTAACGAATTTATGATTTAACAAAAAATTAAATGGCCTTGAATTAGAAAGGAAAAAAAACCACCTTATGACGTAGACCCCCAGGTAAAAAAAAATAAAAGATAACGACAAAACAACCGTTAGGTATATAAAGAAAGCGAGTTTGATTTTAGAGAAATAATGACAAAATAACAGTCATTATCAAAATAAAGAATTTTAATTATCAATCAACAGCAGTTGTGATTACTTTATAGAATGTCATTCACGGAAAGGAAATAAAACCAACGAATGCATATCAAAAAAGAAAAAGGAGCAACAAAAATGTCACAAAGACAATACAACGACAATTGTAGGATCTCCATACAATCAAACTATATATATTATTATGTATAGAGTATTTTGCTGTGACGCGATACCCCAATGTCAACAGATGATAGAGAGAAACCTAGAGTAAATGGGTTGGTTTGAATTATTAATTAGCATATAATATATATTAGTAATAAATTATAAGTTTTGGTTGCGATAATGAAAGAGTTATTGCGGCGTCAATATTTAAATAGCACTTGCCCCAGTTTCTAGAAATATAACTACAGATAATACAGATTACAGCTCTTTCCTGTTCAAATGAAGTTGGTGAATCACAATCTTCAGAAGATCCTGACTGAAGTTTTCTGGGTTTTTTTTTCTTTTGTATCTCTAAAAAAAAAAAATCAGCTTCTTATTCAACTTGCGAAAAAGTTAAATAACTTTGGAGTGTTTCGAATGATACATTAGATTAGACCTGCCGGCCATCGTGTTGAGCGCAGGAGATTTTCTAATATATAGTCTTAGCTGCTTTAAGTTTTTTCCTTTTCTTAAATTGAAGCAATAATAGCTAGAAGAAACAAGCACAGCTGTAGAAACATTAAATCTCCGCCAATTTTCTTTGCAAATTTTGTTTAGAAATATTAACTCTCCCCTTTTTGTAAAAGAAGTTTTTTTGTAATTAGATTCAGTAAGTATTATTTACTTATGACTTCTTTAAAATCTACTCTCTCTCGTTCATTTTATACGACACTCTTTCCTTTAGTTTAGTTATCTAAAAAAAACTTTGACTTTAAACTTTTCATTTAATCCTTAATGATACGATTTAATATAGCCACATAAATATCATGACAGTTTAGAATAATATAACAAGATAACAAATGTATTATCTGAATTAAAATTTTTAATTATCAACAGACAACCGCTATGATTTTTAACATTATGGAAGGAAAAATAAAACACTTATTAAATTAACTAATATGCACTGACGATGTAACTAATTTCACACTATTAAGTTACCTTTATCTGCTATAGTAGGTAATCTATCTTATATTACACATCTGTATATATAAGTTAACAAATTAAATAACACTCACATAACGAGACTGATAATGTACGGTTGATGTAACAAATCTAAGATCGATCTCGACCGAACATATATACTGTATACATATAGGAGTACTTTGCAGTGACGATATCCTAATGTCAACTATATATGTTAGAGAGAAACCTAGAGTTAATGGGTTTATTTGAATTAGCATATTAATCAATTTGTGCGATAAAAAAAGAGTTATTATTGCGGCATCAATATTTTAAAATAACTTGCCCAGTTCTAGAAATAAAACTACAGCTCTTTCTTGTTCAAACCAAAGTTGGTGATCACAATCTTCAGCAGATCCTAACTGAAGTTCTCTGAATTTTATTTTTTTTCCTCTCTGAAAAATCAGATTTTGGAGTCTATCTCGTTAAATACAACAAACCTACTGGCCATCGCGTTGCAGAGATTGAGAATAACTTATATAGTTCAGCTGCTTTTTAGTTTTAATTTATTTTTTCCGTAAAGTTAAGCAACAATACTCAGAGAAACAAGCAAAATATGCATGTAGAAAGATTAATTATCTGCCGACAAAAGTGTGGGCATTCGGTCAGTTCGATTTGAATTTTTTAGTTTCCAATTTGGGCAGAGAGAAATCAAAACTGAACTTAAATTTTATCTAGCTTCAGTTCAGTTTTTAAAATTAGGATCAACTTAAATTATATCATGTACCAGTTTCTAAGGACTTAGAAGATATGAACATGTAGGGGTGGGTCTAGCCAAATCCCCACCTAGGTGTGTGGCAAACATGCGGGTCGGGTCGGATATGGATGGGTCAAAACGGATCATGCAAAAATGGATAAAATATCAGTTTCGACCCATATTTAATACGGATAGAAAATAGGCTAACAAACGGATAATATGGCTATTCATGGCTTGCTAAATATGATCATTTTTGGGAGTATTCCTAATTTTCCAAACTTGAGGAACCCCATTTTGAGTCTTTACAAATGTAAGAGTTAAGCACAATGGTTATCCATTTCTCAAATGAATAATATGTATCTTATCCTTGTTTGACCATTTTAAAAGTTCATTATCCGACCTATTTAATTTTTAGTGGATACTATGGATCGATAACTGTTTTTTAATCCATTTTGGAACTACTGCCCCACCAATCCTTTGGTGACTTTTGTTAAAAAGAAAAAGATTTGTTAGAATGAATTAAAGGATTATTTCCTCTCAAAATTTGGCATATGAAATTCGAAACGTTGAGATGACAAAAAAAAGGGTCATTTGGACTTGTGGAAATATTTCATGACTTGGTGATTTTGAGGCAACGGATATGAGGTCAAAGATTTTCTTGAAAGAAACAATACGTAATGATAGAGTAATCAATTTACTATTTTTTTTGGGAGCGAATTAGTCTTACTAATAGAAACTAAGACTACATAATTTAGTAACCAATGAAAGTTGTATTCACACGGGTACGCGCAAAAAACTCGGGTTCAATAATGAATCTCTACGGAAAAAGGTGGGTGAACCCAAATGGTTCCCATAACGGGGAGCCGGCTTGGCTGAGGGACGAGCCCTCGCCCCTCTGGTCAAAAAGTTAATACGGACTCGGCAACAATAGTGATTTGAGTCCCAAAGAAAGAAAGTTGAAGGTTCCGAAACTTTTCACACGTGCTTTTTACTTGTATTATTTAAAGCAGTATATAATAATCATAGACAGTGAGAACACAATAAGCAATATACTTTCAATCAATTTCCTCTCTTCTTTTCTTTCCGCAGCTTCTTTTTAGTCAACACAATCATTCAAGCAAGTAGTGTTATATATAAAGACACAAGAATTATTATTCCTGACAGACAACATCTGAAACGGATATCATTTTCGCACAAACTACTCTAAGGTAAGCTCTTTACAAGAAGTCTTATCCCCTTAATTTGTCTTCCACAAAATATCTATCTAAGATACTGATTGTGATTGGAATTTTATGTAGAGCCAAGATCTAATCCTATATAAGAGAGAACTGATCATTGAGGTGACAGACTTCCCAATAATGGATATGTCATCGGCTACATGGTGGTCTGAAATGGTATGACAAATTAAATAATAGTACGTAATTAATATATATTTTCTTGCTAAAGTTTTTCCTATGATTTTATATACGTATCTTGAATTAACATTTTCTTTGGTGACAAATACAGGAGATTATGAATATGGATGATCTTCAATACGTTGAAAACTGCCAGACGATGACCTCATCATTCGATGAATTGCCTTTCAATAATAATTACCCCTTCTCCCCTTGTACCTATGGTATTCAGGCTGCTGGAATATTGGAGGAGAAGCCAGCTTTTTGCAATTCCAGAATGGGAACTGAACACCAAAATACCTATTTCTCTTCTCCTTCTTCGTCTCCTCCGCCTTCTTCTTCTTCCCCCAGCGTCATTTTTTTTTGCAACACCAAATCACCATCAACCCATAACTACCAAGAAAATTACTTGAACAGCTCGGTCAAGACTGAGGTTCCATCTGGACCAACTACCATAAACTTCTCGTCTCAAACTTGTCCAGATTCTGATTATGACGATAGTCAGCATCTATTCCAGGCCATGGGATTTACCGCTGCTGATATTACTCAGAAGAAGAGTACTTATAGTAGAACTCCTTTGCAAGCACAAGACCACGTTCTCTCAGAAAGAAAACGAAGAGAACGCCTCACCCAGTGCTTCATATCTTTGTCTACCCTCATCCCTAACCTAAAGAAGGTACGTATTACTATATTTTCTCTTCTTTCATCATTTTATGTTAATATAGCTAATTACTCAATAATCTTGATGTACTACTTTAATTGTTTGTTCTTTAAAAAAAAAAAGGATTAATCTTGATCATGAAGTGCATGCTCCATATCTTAATTACCTCCGATCCACTTTATTCTATAGCAATTCTAAATTTGTACTCCTACTTGAGATTGATTGTGTCCAATGGCAGATGTATAGTGTTAGGATGGGTTCAATTGAACTCACAGTTTTTACCGTAGATATATACATGTGAAAAACCTTAAAAGTCAGTATAAACATATTATTGTTTTGAACTCGTATTTTCAAAGAACTTTTAACATCTTGAACCCATTAGAATTAAATCTAGAATTCGTTTCTAATAACTGTGTGTTTGTTAATGTTCTAACAGTTGGACAAGGAATCAATACTAGGAGATGCGATTAAATACATAAAACAACTGGAAAATCAAGTAAAAAGCCTTGAGGAAGAAACAAAGAAATTTAGCAAGGAGCCAGTGGTTGCAGTTAAGAGAACTGGCCTGCTCTCAACTTATGTTAACTCCTCATCTTCTGAAGAAAACTCCAACATAAGCAGCACCAACAAGTCAGTCCCAGAGATTGAAGTTAGAGCTGCAGATGGGAATGCTCTGATTAGAATTTATTGCAAAAAGCAAGCCACAATAATAAAGGAAATATTCAGCCAAGTAGAGAAGTTCAATCTCACTATCATTAGTAGCAGTGTCATGCCTTTTGGCGACATCAGCACCTACATAACCATTGTTGCTAAGGTACTAACTTGGTCCTTCAATATTAATTCATTTAATTTTCAATTACGTCCAATTGCCTTATTTTGCTAATATTTTGAACAAAAATTTGAAACAGATGGATCATCAGCTGAACATGACAGCAGAATATGCAGCTAAAAGAATACGTGAGACTATAATGAAACTCATCAGCAGTCATATTGACGTTTAGCGAAGCCAGCTCTCTAATTGCATAGAGAATTTCAAGATTATCAGAAGCTAAGGTCTTTGGATCTGTTCTTCTCGTTATAGTGTTAAGTGATAATATGTTAATTTAGAATTTAAGGGTGGGTCTCATGACTTGGTTTTTGAGAGGTTTTCATTATTGTATTTGTGGACTGGGGCTTTGGTATTTTTTTCGGGTCACAAGTTGGAACCCGTTTAACAATTGCCCCACTTGCTACAATTGAGGATGGCACCCTCTCTTTTTTTGACAAGTCATGGAATTCCACTAAGTGGTCTTCTTTTGTTCTCCTTTGGGGGGACTGCTACACACCATGCACGTTAATTTTGACGTTTGCTCTTTTTTTTTTCGTTCGGTTTTTGGGCTTTAGGTAACTAATTTTTGGCCTTTGTTGTATAATATATACTTTTTTGTCTACATGTCTTCGTGGTGTAATAAACACAGGTTTATTGGATTTAGTGAAACCCTTGTCTTTATGTTGGAGATATATCAATGTCACCGTGCAAGCAGCTCTCGACTTCTTTAATTTTGTGCTACTCTAAATTCTAATTGACTAAATTTTAATCAAATTCAGTTCTATACATTCGTGACATATATATAAACCCCAATTTGTCATAGAAAGAAAATTTGTTTTCCATGTCCAATTGACCACAAAATTTCCACTTTCTTAATTATTGAATTCATAGTACGCCCTTTTCTGAAAAAATGATGAAATAATGAGACGATGAGGTATGCTTCTAATTTGCAAAAGTTTATCCCGAGAAACGATATATGTAGTATTTATTTCAAGTGATTGCAAATATTTTGGTGATCTGTCCATTTTGAATATAGAGCATCAGATCTCCAACAAATACGCCCTTGCAATATAAGGCTAGTTGCATTTAATTAAAAATGATTGTTTGTCAACGGTAATGTTTACTGCAAAAATTTAAAATGGATGTTGTATGGTGAGTCACTGCTTTTGTAGCTCCATTTGTTTTTCGCTATATCTTCTAAGTTTAACAGATCCATGAGCAGTAAATGCATGAACCGTCATGAACAATCTTTTGGTACCAGCTGAAAATCATATGAAAAGTAAATTGACCAGCTCGTAGTTACCAAATGAGAAATTAAGTAGTCCAGTCTATATATTAGCTAAACGATAATGGGATTTGGCCAACCTACCATAACTTAAAAGTAGAAAAAAAAAAGAAGAGAAAACGGAAAAAAGATATAGTGAAGCCTATCCATATTCTCAACGTACGGTATAATACTAAAATCCTGAAAAAGATAATTTTTAAAATGAAAGGGGGAAAACCGATTCCTACTCTGTATTCACTTTTTTCATTTTCCTTGCATGTCTCCCACCATTCTGTTTTTCTTTGAAAGTTCCAACCTTTCTTTTCCATTTCTTTTTTTACTTTGGTCGAAGGCTTTGATAAGCGAACTTTTTCTTCTAATCGGAAAATGATGTTGTTTATGATATAGTACTAATAAACTCACGACAAAGTCTACTACGGCTATCAGGCTTTCCACAAGCGTTAAAAACTTCGTTTACATTTGGTATTTGTACCAAATTGATCAATGGAATAAAAGTGTCTTGCATATAAACGTTTATCATTTAATCGCTATCAAGTGACATATATGTTTTTATTTTAATTTATCACTCTAAAGCTAAATTGTTTGACTTGTTATAAATATCGAATACGTATACATATTGTTGAGTTTTTTCTTCAAAGGATGTGAATGGGAAATGGAAGAGGCATCTTACTTCTCCTATCTCACCCTTCTTTTGTCTATAAATTTAGAGGCTTGACCTCATTTTTAAGATATGAAAAATCTGAAATTTTCTCCCCTCTTTTTTATATTATTGCATTATTTTCTAAATAAACATAAGTGTCAAGTGTGATTTGCTCTGTTTGTTGAGTTCGTTGAAGTTCTGTGATTTGAAGTGCCGCTATCACAGAATAGTTATTCCGTTCTATCCTGGGAGGAATTAATCCGTATACATTGGGCAACAGTGAGGAGATTAAATTCCTTAAGGACACACTGTGAATTCAGTGGGCTCGGAATTATTTTACGATTTGTTTATTGAACTAATATTTGTTTTCTTATCTGATTTTCTGATTTTGAACACACTAATACCAACAATCTTAAGGAATTTATTGATATATTAGACGATTGAGAGAGAGAAAGGCAGTGTTTAGAGTCCTCGGATACTCTACAAAGTTGTCTGTATCGGTATTTGCTTTTGTCTAAGCCTTTATATTGCAACTGTATAATGTATGAATTACGAGGAAAATTCTGAAATCTTCTCCAAAATATTCCTTGGAAAGAAATCGAATGGTGGCTTGGACTCACTGGTTTATGTAAACATTCCAGTAACTAGTAAAAATCAGTTTATTACGGAAAGGTTGCAATTGGTTGGTGGCACTTTTTGGAGATATAGGAATGAAATATGCAAGTTAACTGTGGCATCAAAAATTGGACTCACATGCATGTGTGATGGGTTGTTTGTCTGTTCTGAAGAATGCATTTTGCATTACAGGATTACAGACGCCACTAAATAATTTGCGTTTCTGGTGGCTACTAAAATAGACATACTCCGGGTTTTCTGTTCTATATTTTTAACAAGAAGTTGCTCTTAGCAAATGTTTTATGGCTTTCTAACAAGGTTTTGCGTTTGCTGCCTAGTGGTCACTCTTATCCAATGGTATAATATATCTCTTGAAGCCATTTCATAAAAGAGAAGAGTTGGATAATAATTGGCAGAATCACAAAGAATGACGGCGCAATACCTTCAATAACTACTTCATTTGTCCCATTTGACAAGATGTTATTCCACGTCATTCTTGGAACAAGTCATATTATCGAGGAAAAGAAATCAAATACCGGATAAAATACTTCAAAGGAATTTGTGATAACTTACTTTTAGACCCAGCAATTGCAGAAGCCGCAAGCGGCGTTTGACCATGAAGAATCTGTCTTGCATCGTACTTTGCTGGAAAATTGAAACGGCTTGATGGCAATAAAAATCGGGTTATGATTTCTTTACTTGACTAATAATTTTTAATTAACTTTCTACTCTTTGTGATTTATGAAATTCAGTCTCAAATATATTGTCACGCCCCAAGCCCGGGGGTGAGACCGGCACCTAGTGCCTCATCTATCCTTACGTACCACTTGCAACTAAGAGACTTTGAACATGTAATGTCATAATTTGGCTATGGGTCACATTATAAGATAATGTGCAATGCAAAATATAAAACTAAATGGAGACTAACACTGACTAATTTCAACATAAAGCTGGGCCGGCAAGGCTGTCATAATTACTACAACTGACAGGCCAACAAAATATACATACAGGGCCTACAAGCCCAACATACTGCACTAACCGATAGGATATGTCTACAAGCCTCTATTGATAGATGTATTGTGATCGAAGCAGGGCCCCGACCTACCCATAACCTATCTACATATATACACAAGATATACACCACACTGCTTGACCCGGCAACTCTGAAAGAAGGGGAGCTTACCGATAAAGCTGAACTCGGGCAACACCTACTGAGGAGGTCTACCCGTCTGTCTGTCTGAACCTACACGCATCAAATGCAGCGCCCTCTAGAAAGGGACATCAGTACAAAATAATGTACCGAGTATGTCAGGCAATATACTATAAGCTGAAACAGAACTGATGATATAATAACTGAAAGCAACTGGGGATCAAAGATAATCTGAAGATATTCTTATCAGCTGATATTGACTCAACTCTCTCAATATAGTGAGTAAAATAGTTGTCCGGCCCTATAAGGCTCGGTATATATATATATATATATGCTCTGCCGTAGTAGGCTCGCTCATAAGCGCTCGGCCATACTAGGCTCGCTCATAGGCGCTCGGCCACAGCAGGCTTGGTATATAACTTACCATCTGATTAGAGGTTGCCCAATAGGGGCCTACCCATCGATTATAGCTCGATGGTAATGAAAATAATTTAATACTGTATATATAAACTCTTTGCTCTCTTAACGGGAATAAGAAAATACTTAATTGAATATGAAGTCCCGGTAAAGAGAATATTGTAACTTACAAAACTGGAAAAATATACGCAATTTGCGAGACTAGCAAAATATACATAAATTTCGGGATATGAATTTTTCTTTATGCCTCGTTATCAAACTTGTGTAATAACGAGATCATGCAAAATGAAGAAAGAGCTTAGCCTTAATATACCTGGAGTAGAAAAAATTCGTATGATATCCTTGGAAAAAGTTACACCGTACTTATTCCTCCGTTGCTAAAATTCTAAAAATTCCATTGGGAAATTAACGTTCTATAATTGTTGAAATTATAAAACCATGTTGTTGCCTTCTTCAATTCTCAGAAGCTCACGTTCTTGGTTTTGAAAGAGTGAATGACTTTTCAAAGTCTTGTTTGAAAAACTTGAAGAATGACTTTAATGATTTTTGGAGCATAACTCATGTTCTTGGCATTTTTCAAGAATGACTTTTAAAGTTTAACTTAAAAGATCTCTTAGGAGTTGTGTCTAATGTTGTCACCTATCGAGAGTGACTAATAGTCACCTCTTCGTTAAGTGGCTTGCTGCCACGTAGGGGTGGTGGGTAATTTAATCTTTATCCACTTATTAGTTAACTGGGTAATGTTCTGCTACCCGATAATTAATCAATTGCCCGCATAATTTAAAAATTACCTCAAATTACTTAAAATTCTACTTATTTTTAATATACTTTATACATTATACTACCGTGGTCATATGGTACCTTGCATTATACTAGTTTATAATTATCGGGTATTATCACTTGATCCTTATTTTATTCCAAATTGGCCATTTTCAACTAAACTCGTTTTCTCTAATGTGTACCCTTTCTTCCATGGCACTTACTTATTGCTTGGTACAAATAGCATAAATATGCTAACCTCAAGATAATCTCATCCCCAAGTTTACGTCAATTAACTGAGGACGAAACCTTAACGTACGAAAAAAGAGAGATGTAACATATATATTGTGTCTTGCATGTAAATTAATTAAGAATAACTAAGGTTATATTAGTTATATATTTTGGTATATAACTTTAGTAGCATACTTGAAATTATGTAAAAAAAATTATTTCAAGGTTGTAAGATATGAGTTAGGCTTACACCTAATACTTGAAAATATTCTTGAGATCGTGAATATAATATATGTAAAGATGAACATGTATATGTTTGATTAGAGAAAGAAATCAAATTGTTAAAAGTGTTATAATGGCTTAGTTGGAAAACCATTTGGAAAGGGAATTAAATTCTTGTGATTTTATACCCCTGGTTTTGGAGACTAAAATTTTTATGACTTTCTACTCATTTGTCTTAAATTAAAGTCTAAGTGACTTTATACTCATTTTGGAGATTGAAATCTTAGTGATTTTCTACTCCAATTTATTATTCGGTTTGAAGATTAAAAGCTTCACCGTTGATT